AACGTCGGTTTGTTTGAAAAAAACAAATATACGCGATTTAAATCCGGAAAAATAGTTTCATTTCCTAAAAGATGGTAAAAAACAATTTATGACTGTCAAATTAGACAGATGGCCATTTAACAAATTAGTTCCGGCAATTGCCGCGGACTTCTTTTGTGAAAAACACTCTAAAACTGCCACTACGACACGGTAAACCCGGGTGTGTGCGTACCGCACTGTGTACACACCCATTTTTAAAAACACAACGACAAAAAACATTTTCGAGGCCTAATATTTATTGCTACAGCCTGACTCCCTTACCCTAGTAGAATTGTCCCGGAAATGAATAGCCTGTATCTGGCGACCCTAGTCTGAATGCATCATGAATCTGTCTGAATACGCAACTGAATCAAATCCGAGAGATTGATGGCATCTCGAATGCTTTCCGACGTACATGCAGACGCTAGCGGACGATTTCAATTTAGTAAATTGCGCCCGCCGTCCGCCAGTATGCGCTGGCCTTTAGGGGTTCACTATACTTCGATATGGAATCGCATTAAGCCTGTCAGAAAAAGCTATTTACGTTCATGTGATAATACCATAAAAGACGTCGAATGTTGCGCATCAGCGGTCCGTTTTTTTTCGTTTCTTTTGCGTGGACATGAAGTTTTTTCAGGCCGCATTTTGACAAGTGTTTTTAATCGGTAGCACCACCTACTTACTATCAGGTTCCGATTAAAAAGTAACTATGTAATACTAATACACAATACTAGTTACATCATAGACAGCTCTAGTAATTAGTGTTACAAATGTATTCTCTTGTGGGATTAACTTGATTGAAGTTGCGCGCAAAAAGGCGCGTTTCCGCCATTGTGGCACCACCATTGGTTTCCCGCGGCATATTGTTTGGAATGCGCGGGTGCGCTAGCGCATTGTATGCAACATGCGATTATGGTCACAGGAATTCCGAAGTATATTGTGTTGAGAATTCACAAAAGTTGACAATAATTGTCAACGCAATGTTTCCGAAATATCTCTCTCTCTCTCTCTCTCATTCTTGGACTCTTGGACTTTCTTTTTTTTATGATATCAAGTGACAAGTCGTGGGCCTGATGGTAAGCGACACGCCTGTTCACTGCGCCCGTAACCCTGAGACATAAGTCGACAAGTCCCATGTGCCTGTAATTTCACCGGCACCCTTATCCTTCAAAACTGGAACGCACTAATGGTCACATAATTGCTTGGCAGAAATAGGTAAGGTGGCAGTACTTCCCTGGACAAACTCTTTCACAAGAACCTCTACTGCTACTAAACTAAACTCTCTTTCTTCTTATCGATGATGATAAAGTTGATATCATATCGATGACATACACCATATAATTGTTGCCCAGAACTCAACCACGCCGACCTTATGAGTATTATATCCGCTGCCATTAAATCCTCAAGCGTGCAAGTGTTAGGGCATCGTTTGAATCGTACCGTACAAAGAATCCAGATTAGAACCAGTGCCGAATTTACCTGTGGTGCAGGGTGTGCATTGTACATGGGCACATTTTTATGTAGCAGTAAAGAATAGAATAGAATAGAATAGAATAGAATAGAATAGAATAGAATCGTTTATTTCATGTTATCAATGTCACAATATTACAATTGGAAATACAATGTCAAGGGATAACTATGATCGTCAGTAATAAAATTATAATAATAATAATGAATATAAAATAAAGTAGTATAACTACTGCTTGTCGAATAAAATAAAATTAAAATTGTTTCAAAAGAAACTCATCGACACTGTACAATTCAATATCCAATAAAGCTCCTTGCGAAAGTGTTCGTCCAGGGAAGTACTGCAACCTTACCTATTTCTGCCGCCAAGCAGTAATATTAACATTACTGTGTTCCGGTTTTGAAGGACAAGAGTGCTGGCGAAATGACAGTCACATTGGACTTGTTTACTGATATCTCAAGGTGACGGGCGCAGTGATAGTTCCCTACAGATCTTTGCAATTTAAAGTTATGGACAGGCGTGTAACTTACCATCAGGCGCACGCACGACTTGTTCGTACCGTCACTTGATGTTATCAAAAAAAATAAGTTGATTACGACTTCGCGTATTAACTGCAAACATGTAGTCAATCTGTTAGCGGCCTTAGTCCGAAGTAGACCTGTGTCGGTCGATCATTTTGATGTAACGTGATCGGGTCAAATGATTCGATCGTATTATGTTCGACCTTTTAGTGGGTCACTAGTCGCTCACGATACTTCTATAAGACGTTTAAAAGTGTCTAATTATACAATTAGCTTTTATTATTTCCTGCTGATGTGTAATGTATATAAAGTTAAATGCATCATTGATACACAACAAATTGGGACAGTAAAATTTCATTCTACGAAACAAAAATACATAACAAAAGACTTATGAGCATTCAAAGTTACTAATTAATTAATTATTAGTATTTTAATATTAGCTAGTGCACTCATAACTAATCACAACATACCGAAAAACAAATTAAACTTACAAAATTACCATGTAATAATGGATACTACGCCACGGAGCAATTAGGAAGAATGATTGATAGACTCATTGATCCGTTAACCCGTTGACTCGTTGATCGATTGCTTAACTTTTTTCTATCAAACGAATGCTCTATCGAACAAATGTTCCACCAAAATGAAGAGCGAGAAAGCGAACCGTGTCATGAGTGGGAACTTCACGTGAGAGTGAACGAGACAACAATAATATTATGAATTGTTGAATAATCTCTAAAATTATAGAGATAAAGTCGAATATTGCGCGCATGGCCCATGGAACTCCAAAATGATCGGGTTATTTAGAAGCTAGTAACCCGGGTTATTCGATCACATGTGATGTTCGAATCTTTTTGATTCGTTCGATCTCGATCGACACACGAAGCCTATTTCCAGATCGGTCATGACAATTCGTGTCAAAGAGGAAAGCACATAATAAGACAAACTTTTATTGTGACATGTTATGTCTATCCAATACGCATGTTTCCGTAATACCATTGAAGGTACATAATAACAATTTGTCACTTGGATAAATTCCTATAGACACAAAGTAAAATGAAAGGTGAACAGAGAATAATATCTTTTACGTGTGGTCATCTGTGCGCACAAGTACTTTAGGTACCTTTATAGCCGGCCAGAGTCAATCATAGCTGAGATGACAACATAATGGCTTCGCAGGAGCGCTTTTTGCCGCGTTTTTTCCCTACGTTCCTATCTTCGGTACCAACTTGCCGTAGTAAACGGTTTTTATAACATTCCTACTCTGATAATGGAGTTCAGGTATTTATTGAGATTTTACCGACTGGAAAGATGGTAAATATTCTTTTTAAAGTTATTTGATGGACAGAGGAAATCGCGACCCATCGACACTGCGAAACTTTCTTTTCTACTCATTGACTTACAAGTAAACGGACGACGGGTCTAATACAGAAACCACGAAAAAAATTGTCCCAAGTCAACCTATTTAAACGTAGTGACATATAAAGGAATATGAAAAAGCTAAAACGTTGAATTTAAATTGTAATGTCATCGCAGTACTGTCTAATTTTGCTTGCTTCGCTGTCAGTCGAACAAACGAAGACTAAAGCGTGAATGACGCTCTGTATACGATTTTAACGCCTATAAGTTCGGACACTTTTTAGCGCGGACCCGACGTCCATATAATTGTAAGTCAATGTTTCTACTCTTTAATCTGTCAATTATATTTTCATAAACAATTTTTATAAAGGTGCTCTTTTTAGTTCTGAACCAAAATTCTATTGGCACTTGGTACTTGCTACCGAACTGAAAAATAATGCGTGCAGAACTATAATGAATACTATAATAGAACTACAATGAGTTACACAGACACTAATACTACTAAATTCGATTTTAGTGTTGCCAGTACTTACCAGTACTTTTCCATGGAAAATGGGCACTTGCTCGGTAACAATCTCACCTAGTTTTAAGCGACGATATGGTCGACGATGGTGGTAAACGTTTGTCTAAAAAATTGCGTACAAACAACAACGTAAAAACTTTCGCAGGCAATCGTAGTTTTCGGGAATCAAATATATATTCGACTTTTATATATATATTCCACATAAAAGAGTTTGTGTACATCGGATGCATGTTTAGAAGGGATGGTAAATGTGAGAAAGACATTGAAAGAAGAGTAAAAAAGGGAAACGCGGTGAACGGGCCATAAAGGGAATGACGTGCAGTCAGTCTAAAACTGAGAAAGTGCGAATGGCGGTACATAATGCTGTGTCGGTTCCAACGTTAATGTATGGCAATGTCTTGGGTGTGGCAGAAGAAGCATGAGAGTAGAGCGACTGCAGTTGATATGAGATCCTCCAGAAGAAAATGTGGTTCGCGGTTGTGCGATATATTGAAGAATGCTGTGATCCGTGAAAAATGTGGTTTGAAAGAGAATGTAATGACAAAAATAGAAAACGATATGCTGAGGTGGTTTGTTCACATGGAGCGCATGAATGAATGTAGATTAACGAAAGAAATATAAAGAGTTAACGTAATTGGAGGAGGACGGCCACAAAGAACATTCTCTGATTAACTTGAAAGTGTTCTTAAAAAGGCTGGAGTGCATAGAGAGAAAAATAAGAGAGAGATGTATGAAAAGATTGTTGAATATAAGTGAAGCAAGAGTGGTTTGTAAGGATCGTGCTAAGTGGCGATCGATAGTCTCTGCCTAATAATAAAAAATGTATTCTACTTTGCATACCAGTTCTGTGAAACTCCGTTAATGTGTGTGCCAACGACGTTCCGAATTTAACCGGCCTTTACTTAATGCCTACAAGATATTTTCCCTGCTTTAAATACTTTGTTTTATAGTTATATATGAACCACATATACACTCCACTTATTTTTAACATATGATTTATGATTACCATTGCACGTATGTCACAAGCTTGTTTGTAATGTACTGTGATTTAGCAAACTAACGAGTAATCTATCTATCTATTTATCTAATGCAATGTTATTCTTTGTTTCAGTAAAGAAGCAGTGATGCCCATGATCCCACTAGGTCTGAAGGAGACGAAAGAGGTGGACTTCCGCGAGCCGTTCAAAGACTTCGTCCTGGAGCACTACAGCGAGGACGCTGCGACGTATGAGGACGCAATTTCTGATTTCATGGACATGAGACAGGTAACACATAGACTTATACTGAGTCCTTTGTACTCCCGTTCAGCTCTTCATAACAAACGCATTTACATTTCAATATCTTCCGAGGTACTGTCACCTAAAAAAATGACAATTACGCTGGTTTTGGAAATAGCACAAAAGTATGTCAATGGGATAGAAATTAAAATAAAATAAAAAATACTCTATAGCGTTACATTTTAGGACCATAAATTTACAGAGTATAAAGGATTTTCCAAGAAAAGTCTTTCAGATGGCGCCTAAATGTTTCGTCAGATAGTTCAAGTCTGAGATTAGCGGGTAGACGCTCATAGGAAGTGGGTTTTTTCTCTGCACGTGGGCAAGTGAACACAGTAATGCTGACATTACTGCTTGGCGACAGAAATAGATATGGTGGCAGTACTTCCCTGGACAAAATCTTTCACGAGGATCCCTGCTCCTGCTACTTTGTTATTTATGTCGGAATCTTCGTCATCCGTACAGTTCGTCAACAGTAGGATTTGTTCAGTGTCTCATAGATGTGTTAATTTTTTTAACCTTTGACGCAAAAAGAGGGGAAATGTAAGTTTGGTACCTTTGTATATCTCTAGGTATGTGTCTGTCTATATGTAATATGTTGAGTCTGAGAGCTAAATTCTTCATGAGACCATCGAAGCTACCATATTGCAAACTTGTTCGTCGCTCTCTTATCTTTATTAGATTCCTCAAGTGCAGCTATGTTAATTGCAATCAGCTCCTTAAAATTCTTGTCCAGCAGGTTGATTTTATTTCAAACCTACTACATCTTTCTAATTTGTGAGCTAAATCAACTTCTGTTCCAATTTGTAATGTCAAAAGTTTCTGGTCGGCCAGTTGTGGATCGCAATTATGCGCCTCGACTCGGAAGAGACGCAATTTCCGATCGGGAGAGCCAATCAAAATCAAGCGGCAGATCATGTCCGGGCAGATGTTGCACTGTAATTAATGCATGTTTATTCACGGGTATTTTGTAGCCACAACATCTTACATCTTCCGACCATGTTCTTCACGTGTGGTTGAAGGCTGAAATTGACATTTGAAGCATCATTTATTTAAAAATGGATCTTGTGTTCCAGGCGATACGCACACCGGTGCGATCGACCGCAGGCGTGGCACTGCTGTTCAAGTACTACAACCAACTGTACTTCATCGAGCGCCGCTTTTTCCCGCCAGACCGCTCGCTCGGCGTTTACTTCGAGTGGTTCGACTCACTCACAGGTCCTTTAAAATTTCATATATTTATAAAGAAACGGGCACATTATTTGCACATTAAAAAAGGGAATGTCTTGGTCTTTTTAACTATACGGGTGTACTCTAGAGTGGAAAAGTTTAAGTATTTTAAACACTTTGTAACCTTGGGCCTGGAGGACTATGCCGACATGAAGAGGGAGGTTGGAGCGTTGTCTGTTAGAGCTAATATGATAGCTCGCAGATTTGCTCAACGTTATAGGGACGTCAAGATCACCCCCTTCACGGCATTTTGTACGTTCTTCTATACTAGTAGTCTGCGGGTAAGTTAAAACAATACAGCGCGCTACGTGTCCAGTACAATAATGCATTTAGGGTGCTGTAGGGGCTGCCTCGCTTCTGCAGCTGCAGATGTTTGCTCAAGCGCGCGTAGATTGCTTAATTGTATTAAATCATTATATTGATCCATGTTGGTCGAAATAAATGGTTTATTATTATTATATTATGTATGAGGGAGCGAGTAATAATCGAAAATGTAAATATATCACTGCAAATATAACATGAGAGTCAAGCAGCACTATTTATCCACTGTCACGTCCATTTTAAACATATTATAATATGAAGTATGTATTAAGGATTTGTGAGACATATGCGGTTCAGGTATAACACGAAAAAGACCGAGCTCCTAGTTTTTAAGCCGAAGGCAGGTTCTGTTGGAACTGTGCCGCCGGTGTTTCTCAATGGTAGTGAGATAAGTCGTGTCTCTCAATTTAAGTACCTGGGTCACTGGGTAACCGATAACTTGCATGATAGTGCCGACATGGAGAGGGAGAGAAGGGCTGTCTGTTAGATGTAATATGCTCGTGATGATGTATTAGATGTAATATACTTTTACACAAGCAGCCTGTGGGTGAAGTACACGCAGAGAACCCTGAATACATTAAGGGTGCAATATAACAACGCTTTTAGGATGCTAATGGGGCTGCCGCGACACTGTAGTCCATCCGATAATGTTCACGGAGGCGCACACAGATGGCTTGCATGCCATTATGCGCAAGAAGGCTGCCTCACTTATGATGCGTGTGCGAGGCAGCGCCAATAGCATCCTAGCCGTTGTTGCCAACAGACTGGACTGCCCCTACCAACAACATTGGGTGCAACTACACGTGCGTAGGGTAGTGGTCTAGACTCACTTTTCACTAAAATTAAGTAATTTTGTATTACTAACCATAGCACGTAAGAAAAATTTACTGTATTACTAACATTATTATGGATCATGGTCCGAAATAAATAATTCTATTCTATTCTATTAATTAAGTATTTATATAGACAGTTTAATTTAATAATTTTACCAATTTTTTTTTAAATTATATTACATAATTCAATTTTGTATTGTTGTGCATGTAAAACCGATATTGTAATTATTTTGTCCTACATTTTGGTCTGCACGAATAAAAAGACAAATTATTTCGATCCGATGGACTTGAACCAGTTTCTATTTATATTTATTATAATTTTTTATTATAATTTTATTATAATCATATTTATTTAACTATAGGATTCATTTATTCGTTTTAAATAGGGTAGGAAACATTATAAATGTTGATGGTAAATCAATTGGTTCAGGATATGCCATAATGGTGGATGTCATAATTTAGTTAAGAGTGCTATAATAAATAAATGTAAAGGAATGTTTGCATCAAACAATTAGTCTTTATATTGCATAAAATCATCAAACGATCTAAAAGGCGCCTCAGCAATTCTTTTTAAAAGTGATCAATGAAAGGGGCTTAAAAGCGATCTAGTATATGATTTTTAAAAATCATACGTAAGTTATTTTGGAAGCGTTTTGTCTTTGGTATTGTATCTAATATTACTTTATTTGGGTTTCTTAGGCTATGGTAGTAAAAACAACATGATGTTCATTAAAAAAATATTGCAATTAATGCAGCGCCATCTCTGTGAGTTTTCTGGTAGCTGTAACGGTACCTGGCGGAGAGAAAAAGCTTGCAAAAGTTTCTCACAGATGGCGCTACGACATAAAAGCACAAAGACAAATTCGTATCTGCTAAATCTGTAACTCAATTGGTAAGAACGTTAGCCGAGGTGAGGCAGGCTCTGATTTTAGAGCACAGTCGGATCTCTTTGTTCTATATTTGTATTAATAATAATAACATTGATATGAGATTAATTTAAAAACAGAAGTAATAGCGTCATGTGCTCTTGTTTTCTAAACAATAAATCTTAAATCCGGTATTATGAATTCTAACGTAACATCATTCATATTTCAATTTGTGGTTATTGCAGGAGTCCCATCGTGCCAGCGAACGGTGGCTTTCGAGAAAGCTTGCGTCCTGTTCAACATTGCTGGCATTTACACACAAATTGGCGCCAAACAGGTGGGCAACAATCACACCTGGTTTCAAGCCAGGAAATCCTAGAGGATTTCCTGGCTTAGAAACTGTCATAGCTGTCAAAGCCAGACCAGATTACCGAAACTTCGACGTCACTACACGCAACACCCAGAATCGAAGAAGTTTACAAAAATGTTTGAAGACCGACGGAACTACGTCATTACAACTACGACCATACATTCTTAGTTCTAGTGGGAAAACGGCCATAACTACGGAATCGTGCTTCGAAAGTAGAGCCAGGGTTCCGTCACTCGAGGTTAAGCGATAAGTGCCTACCGTTAAGCGTATCCCCGACAGTACAAGCACTCAGACAAGTCTTATTTATGTTACAATCCTTGTACAACCCCAGCATTCGGTTCCGCACGACCGCTCACGGCGGGCAACGTAATTTTCACCTATCTGAACGCGGGCTTAGGTTCCTTTTTCCTCGTAATGAACGCCTGCGGTGTCATAAGTCAGATTTTGTGGGCTAGTATAGCGTAGATATTTTCGATTTTCTGTGACAGTGATGTATCTGTTACCTACGTCGTAACTATAAAGTAGTGTCTGGTAGAGCCCATATATTTGACTCGTTTACATTTCTTCACGCGTGCTAATCAAACCGATCGGGTAGTCCGAAATCAGATGGGTTTTCTAGCGAGTAGATGAACCTGATTCCTACTGTATATTTCTAATATGTGAGTTAAATATCAACTATTGTTCCGATTTGAAATGTCACAAGTTTCCGATCGGCCAGTTGTAAATCGCAATTATGCGCCTCGGCTCGGAAAAGACGCAGTTTCCGATCGGGAGAACCAATCAAAAGCAAGTTGCTGCTTACATCTTTTTTCAATTTTATATCTTTGGTTACTTCAGGAGCGAAGCACGTGCGCGGGTCTGGACGGCGCAGTGGACGCGTTGCTTCGAGCCGCTGGCACGCTGCGGTACATCCACGAGAATTTCACCAATGCGCCGTCGGTAGACCTCGCCGCTGACACTCTGTTGGTCCTTGGAGCCCTTATGACCGTAAGCTGTTCCTTCAAATTTCTCAGGGATTCCTGTCACGAGACCTAGCTACGCGGAAAATTGCACAGTCCTGATAGCTGTTAGCAATAAAGAAGGCACACGAGCTTCCAGTTGTTGCTTCGCATAATAGCTCTCGTTACCTTTTAATTCGCGATAGCATTGCAGGCACCGAGTTTCGAATAAAGAGGCATGAAAAATGAGATGAATTGTACGTTACTCACATCGCATAGCATCTGAAATTTCTCTTTGTGAAAGAATTCGTCCAGGGAAGTACTGACACTAAACATATGTCTGCCGCCAAACTATAATGTGACCAGAACTGCGTTCCGGTTTTAAAGGGTGCATGATACATGGGACTTGTCAACTTTATGTCCCGGAATGACGAGCGCAGTGGCAGTGTTCCTAAGATCTTTGCGATTTAAAGCACCAGTCTCCAGCCACAACTGCCTCAGTGGCCGAACGGTTACCATGCCGGACTGCCACGCTAGGTCCCAGGTTTGATTCCCGGGCCGAGAGCCATATTTGTATGGACTACATTTATTTATCTCTGGATTTAGGGTGTAATTTGTGGTTGTCTACATGGCACCCGCGACTTATGGATTGTATGCGTTATAATGATTACTTACCATTATATCACTTGGTAATGATAAAAAAGTCCGGTGAGCTGACGCCTCGGGCGTTCGTTGTGCTTCCAGGCGCAGGCCCGCGAGTGCCTGTTCGAGAAGCTGCAGCTGCAGGCGCGCGACGCGTGCGGCGGCCGCGAGCACGAGCTGCGCGACGACCTGGACATGTGCCTGGACCTGGCGCAGGAGAGCGCGCAGCTCGCGCACGTGTACCGCCAGCTGTACGAGAAGGTAGGGCCCGTTGGGGTGGGTTCAGATAGAACGCCAGAAGAGCGTTTACCTTGACAAGTAAGGCTTTGGTTCAAGTCTGCGTAGCTTACTAACTGGACTTACAGACTATAGCAGTACGGAACACTGATTATACCTGCTAGTGCTGTTCACGAGGTTTGATCGTATTTTGACGACGGCAGCGACCCGATGATTTGCACTGTAGACGCTGGATGACAAGGTCCCAGATTTAAACCCAATCTCAAATCGATGCCTCCAATAGCTCCAAGGAACATAACGGCATCAAAATATTTTGGCCTGTTTAATTTTTATTTTGTTTTTTGTTTCTTTATTTTTTTTCACAATATTCGAGAAACATAATATTAGTAAATAAATATGGCCGTTTGTGTTATATTATAGTGTTCAATGGATGTATCGAAATAATCTTTATTTCTAAGGTAAGCAAATTACACTTCAGATCCTCATATCCATTAAACTCCGCTCGCTCATTCACAAAACAGATTCCCCTGAGAAGAATGAGCTAAAAACTCTAGGGTTTGCTCTTAGTAAATAAATATTTGTGCACATCATTTACAATACTTTCTCAAACCAGCAAGAGCTAAACGGGCCACTATCACGGATTTTTGTCATACAAGTACGCAGAAAGTATTTCATAACCATTAGCGCAATAAAGTTTTTGTTTGACTATAGTTTTAAACCTTGTAAATGGCAAATTTTGAATATCAACCGGAATTTTATTATAGCATTGCCTCTTTAAATGACTTGGGCCTTTTCATGTACATTCGATTCCCAAAGGAAGCAATTTGAGAAATTAACTTTTCTAAATAGGTTTCGAAATGCCTTAGAGCGCCTTCTAATTATAGAAGCCATTACTAATTTTCATACAATATTTAGAAGCGCAGTTGCAGCGCCACTGTTGCGACGCGCACGCGCCACTTTTGCAGTCACAATTACTGAGCTAAAATTAAAAGCGCTAGAGACGCACGGCTGTCGCGCCACAGTTGAGCTACTAGACGTCCTAATGGGCCCGCTGCGTGACACGTGATTCTCCTCTTAAATATGACAATAGTACGTTACAATGTAAATAAAACGACAGTTGCGTCTACGCAGTTTTCAATTGAGTAGCACTGATAGATAAAACTAATAAAGATTCTAATTGTCATTGCAGATGCAATCTGAAGGTGTGTTCAACTACGTGCCATACTCGTGGGTCTCTTTAGTCCACGTCAAGACTGAGTTCTACAAAGGTAAGCAAATGTAAAAAACAATTTTGCACACAGGTGTGCTCTAAAGAGACAGCTTAAATAGCGGGTTGGGGACAGCACACGTTTTGTAAGGGTTGTGAACCTTCATCACACATCAGCAGGCCGAGTGTAGCGAAACGCGGGAAAACTAAAATCCGTTGCCCACCGTACCGAACCACAGATATAACATAGTTCCTGCAGATACATTACACTCGAACAAAATCGAAAATATACTATAATAGCCTACTAAATCTGACTAATGACACCAAGTTCTCACTACGAGGAAAAAGGAACCTAAGCACGCGCTGAGAGACGCGAAAATAACGTTGCCCGCCGTGTGCAGTCATGCGGAACCGACTGCTCATAAATGAAAGACGTCGGTACACTCAACGGTAGGCACTTATCGCGTAACCTTGAGCGAATGACGGAGCCTTGACCGAACTCGTAACGAAAAAGCCGTCAGACTCAGATTCTATGAACACCTACTCGCAAATCTAAAAAATGTTACAAACGACGAAATGTTTTGTGGTAGCAGAGAGGATGGACAGGCAATTCCTAAGCAAGATGCATTGACTTACAAATAAATTGGCGACGGGTCTAATACAAAAACCACGAAAAAAATGTCCCAAGTCAACCTATTTAAACGTAGTGACATGTAAAGGAATATGAAAAAGCTAAAACGTTGAATTTAAATTGTAATGTCATCACAGTACTGTCTAATTTTGCTTGCTTCGCTGTCAGTCGAACAAACGAAGACTAAAGCGTGAATGACGCTCTGTATACGATTTTAACGCCCTATAAGTTCGGATACTTTTTAGCGCGGACCCGACGTCCATATAATTGTAAGTCAATGGCAAGATGTCATGAAAATGAACACTTTGCATTCTAATAACATAGTTGTAACGCTTTATGGACATGTAAGAACCTTTACACACGGCGTAATTTATTTTAAAGCGTTGTTGTTGTTGTGAATGATTCAAACTCGCGCAAACATCTCATTGCAAGCAAGAAGCTTATATACTCCACTGGAGTTTACACTTAGAATTTCGTGTAGTTGCTTTATTTCAAAAATTAACTGAAATTAACAAACAAAACGAAACTTGAAACTATATATCACAAACACCCAGACCCGAGACAATATAGAATAGTTAGTTTTCTACACTGACCCGGCCGGGGATCGAACCCGGGACCTCAGAGATGGCGACACCATGAAAAAACCGATGTACAAGCCACTCGACCACAGAGGCCGTCGAAAATGCGCGATACATACGCCGATTCACAGCGCGTATAAAATATGCCGTGTGTATCGGCTCTAACTGTGCTCTCTGCAATATTTTTTTCATTTCATTTTACTATTACAGCGTTGGCACACCAATATTGCGCGACGGGACTCCTGCACGCGTCGTCTGCTGCTCGCGTAAAGGACCGCCTGGCCTCACTGTATGCGCTCGGAGGGGACCGGAATGTCGACAATGGTAAGTCAATGCAATATCTAATATACTGCGTCTTCCTCTACACAATACCTTGCAAAGCACTTATAATATTTATGATTTTGCTGGCTTCAATCAACTCTCATGAACATCGTCGTCAACTGTTCATAATTCATTCATACTCCACTACTTTCTTATAATAAGTGAAGAAATAGTTTTATCACAGATGGCGCTAATCTTTAGCAGTTTTCTGTAAGGTTTTCGTTAGATATCACATAAAAAAAACTTTCGTTTTCTTTTTCATTGTAGACGTTGTACTGTCTTTCAGGTTTAGCTGGAACAGCCACGTTGAAAGAACAAGAGTTAGACCCCGCGGTGCTGGGCAGAGCGCATTTAGCAGAAGCTCTGGCGCTTTATGAAGAGGCTTTAAGACTACAGCGGATGTGCCGGTGAGTCCTTTGGTTTGTTTGGTATAGGGAACTTGCAACCACAGATTAAATAACAGCTGTAACCAAGAACCGTCCCATTTTCGCGCCTTAGGCATTGTGACGCCATCTGGCGATATTGTACAGAACTTTTCAGTCCACGTAGCAGTCAGAGAGAAAACAAATATGGCGAGCGTTATTTATTCACCGATATATTCCACAAATCCTGCTAATATAGAATTTGGTGAATCTGTAGGGATTTGTGGAAAGTACTTTAGTACTTTGACGATTTCGTTAAAACTTTATGGTTTTTTTTATCATAATAAATGTTGTGTTCATTGAAAGTGAGTTCACGAAACTAAAGTACAATTTGACAGACATCCATTGCAAATACGTAGTTCAAATTATGTGAACAATTTCAATCTGTCCCATGTGCTTGTAATTTCACAGCACCCTTCGAAACCGGAACATAGTAACGCTAACATTACTGCTTGGCGGCAGAAATAGATTCGATTTCTACTAAAAGTACTATCTACTGTTTCGTACACTTGACACAAATTGTGAAACCAACAAGTTGCTACCTATCGCGTTCTTAGGTTGATAGGAAGGTTTTTAGGAAATAAAACTATTCTTCCGGATTTAAATCACGTATATTTGTTTTTCAAACAAACCAACATTTCGGGCCCTTTAGAGGTCCCATGGTCACGGTTGACTGAGGCGCTACAGTCGGCAACAACAAAAGTTATTAATTAAATACCTTATTTTTAATTTTACAAAGAAACATTCCAATTTACGCTACATTACGTTTTGCAAATTATTTTATTATTAATTAACGATGGATACTAAGTTGCTACCTCCCAGGTTTAGGCAAACAGCTAGGCGCTACAATCCACGTAGCATGTCAGGGAATTATTCGCGTAGCCGGAGCTTAAGTTCTGAGCGGGAGCGGTAATGGTTGCAGCGAACTACGCGACAAAGAGCCGCTGGCGGCCGTGGTGCGTGCGCACGCGGCGCGGGCGGCCCGCGACCGCGCGGCCCGCGGCGACGAGCCCGACTTCATGGACCTGCTGGACGCGCCCGCCGTGCAACGTGAGTTACTACTTCACGGTGTCAAAGTCAAGTGAAATAAATAGCCATTTCAAATCACTGCCGTCCGTTAGCTGAAACGGCTAAGTGACAAATAGTTTATAGTTTTATGAAAATATCTCACAAGTATTTTAATGCCTAATTATATACAGTTACCTAAACTGCTTTATCTACACACATATTATAAGCTCTCTGTGATGTGTTCAGGAACCGCATGTAATAAAAACTTTTCTCACGCATGTCACACAACCGTAGTTTTTATTTTTAATTCATAGACAAGCTAGAATCGGTCCCAACTATCATATCGTTCGATATCAAGTAACGTATGAAATTGTCAAAATTGTTTGCTATTAACATTTCATTTCGAATAAAACTTAATCTCGACCGATATTAGAATTGAGGTCCAATCAAATTTGTTTTGTTTTTCAGAGATGTTCGAAATTTGAATCAATATTTTTTTTAAATTAATTTATTTCTGGCCATGGAAACAAAGTCCTTCAGCCGAAAACATAAAAGTAAGTTTTTCTGTAAATATGGCCGCCACAAAGAGGATAGGCAATTTGAGGTGGCGTGCTTGGATTGACTCGGGATTCCTTAGAACGGGCCGATACGGGTATTTTAGTTCGAGATTCGTATAATTTCGCGTTTTAATCTTCGATTAAGGTACAATAGCACTATCTTATTCCACTTTAAACTTGATTTCACAAAATAATTGAAAGTCAAAATAAAAACGACACTTTTCCCTCCAAAAGGTCCAGAGCGAATCCCTTGAATCAATAATAACATTTTCACAGATAAGAAATTTGTTCTAACAGTTTACCTTTATGCTGGTCGTAATTTGCGGTATTTGAACACATTAAAGAGAGTTTATGATATGTGTAGTGTAATGTAATTTTTTGAGATATCATAAAAACCATAACCCCGTTTTAAGAATATTGAAATTGTGTAATGATATTTCAGCTATGCATCGTTAGAGTAAGTTCCGATAAGTCGAACACGTAAATTAATTTTAACTGTTTTTGTTGTAAAGTGAATTTTGTGCTCTATTTTTTGCTATTTAAAACGGTTATTTGACCATTTGTCACTTAGCTACGTTTTGGTTAAGGACGGCGGATCAGTCAAATCATTATCGTCATTTTTTAAGCTGCTACTCGTTCACTGTGTCCTGAGAAGAACGAGCAAGAAACTCTAGGGATAGCTCTTTTCGAATAAACTTGTGGTGCGGTACAGATTTTTTTATAAATACAAAATAAACCTTTCAACCTGTTTTGTCAGAAGACCATCCTGACCAAAAGTTATTGAGAAAAGTTAACTTGTTATAATTTATTAAAACAAAGATCGGACACAGAAAAATTTCATCGATCCGGTGCAACGTGAACTCACGGCCATGCATTGTTCTTACCAAATAAACCACAGGTCAAATATACGGGTTGTCGAAATTCTTTCTGTTTTTGTTATAAACTGACTTTTGACATTCGTCGCCGATAGTGACATCTAGTGAGAGATTTTTGAAGAACCTCACCGCAGCCAAAAGTTCCCTTTTCAATTTGATCCCTATCCAGAAGCGAACCCGGTACCTCGCTTACCATTTGACCACCGGAATCGTCATTCTTGGCACTCATGTACAGTCCATAAATACTCAGCTACTATAACCAATAAACAACAATAATATTTCGATTGCAGCATCGTCAAAATTCCAACTTGCCCTCACACCACCAGATTTCGCTCAACACAGAGTAGAAGATCTCTTCAAATCGCTAGGACCTATTGCAATATTTTCCGCAAAACGTCACTGGAGCGCACCGCGACTAATACAACTGCAAAAGCACACAGATAAGAAAAGAGACAACTCCAGAAAAGACAAAAGGAACGGCAGAATAGAAGAATACACAGAACTGAAAAGAACAGAAAAACGAGACAGATCAGAAGACAATAGCACATACTACAACCAAATTCTCAGAAACGATGAATCCATGGATGATTATGAAAAGAAAAAACTACATAGAGTCATGAAACAGAACGGTGTTTATATAAATAGTTACAACAATAATAATAATTACGATTACCATCCAAAGGTTATAGATTATTACAATGGGAATGAGAATGGGTATGAATATATGAATGGAAAGAAGAATGGTCGTAAAAAGGACCCCTTGAGGAGGGCGAGTAGTGAATATAATGTTTCTGCTAAAACTGATGACGGATTTGGATTTTCTGTGAGAGGTGACGCGCCCGTCGTTATCGCCGCCGTTGAACCTAATTCGTTGGCTGATGTAAGTAGTCATTTTGTTTATCTATAAGATTTTATTTTGATCTAAAACACTTAAGACTCGATAAGGTTCATTTGCTTAGGTCGAGCGTTTAAAGCCATTTGAATAGTGTGTTCTATTTAGGTCAGTTGATATATAAATAATCTCAGTACAGAGTACTAAAAAACCGACCTGAAAAGTGCGTGGAATTACGTCTATCTGCTAAGTTTCATTGAAATATCCCCTAGTTCGCCAGTATACAGGACTTGATACTGGAGATAATAAAAATAGGTTCCCACTACGACACTACTCAAAGTATATCGAGAGAAAAACGCCTTGAATTGGAGAAATAGCAAAATCAACTAAATAATTGCTAAAAGTAATTGCTCCTAAATTAAAGTTAGGCGCTATTTATAAAAATGAATCTTCATGCGTGAACAGCCACCTTTTGAGGTGGATGATTTTCTTCAAAATTAAATGGGACCACTATGGAGGTATCCTCTTTCCAACAAAAAGAGAATCATGAAAATCGGTTCACAAATACCGGAGTTATCGCGTAACATACATCCCAAAAAAAAAAAAAAAAAAAAAAACAGAACATACAGTCGAATTGAGAACCTCCTCCTTTTTTGAAGTCGGTTAAAAAAAAATCATTGGTATATCTAAACTACCTATTTAAAATTTCAAGGTAAGTTTGTGTTTTTTTTCCTATCGTGAAAATGTTTAGGAATTGTGTTTTCACACCGTATGTATCCTCCACCAGTGTATATCCTCAATCGAGAGACAACGAGACAACAATAATATTGTGAATTTCTTTTTGAATTTTTGAATTTTCTCTAAAAGTTATGCTGCATGACCCAAGAATATCTAAAATGATCGGGTTATTTAGAAGCAAGTAACCGAGTTCGGGTCACAGGTGCTGTTCGAAGCATTTTAATTGGATTGAACACGACCGACACATATCTATTCGAACTGTCAAAAGTTATATAAATGGTTGGACGGAGTATGCACAAAATTATATTCTTGCACCATTATACATAGGTAGTGATAAAATTTATTGACAAGCATGTATCAGTAGCTACACATAATTCAAGTGCCCCGATATAAAAACCAATATCATTGATCTTACCAAAAACTATTATAGTTTAAAAGTTATCACAGCATGGCAAATAAGCAACCGTCAGAGGTCCTATACAAATTCGAGAACGTACAAATTTGTTACCGGTCAGTTTCTCTTATATATTATTATTGACTCAAACTCAATGTGAATCAAATTCTTCACTTAGATCGGTGGCATGCGCGAAGGCGACTTCATTATCAGCATCGGCGACCGCGACGCGAAGTGGGCATCGCACGATGAGGTGGTTCGTCTCATACAGCAGGCTGGGGACACGCTCACGCTGCGCCTGGCTACGCCGATGGACAAGAGCTGCGCCAAGGTGAGACAGAAACTTCTAGGATTTGTTACTTGTCGTGTTTTTCTTTTTAAATTTAAATATACCTTTGTTATGTAAAGAAATAATCCAATAATAATAAAAAGTCAGTTAAAATTTTTACACGAATGGATTTTTAGTTTATGTATATTACGTTGTGCGTTTCTTGATTATTTGTTACCATTAAGCTGATGGCTCTGAAGCCAATGCTTTATAAATAAATAAATAATAATAATAAAATAATAAAAAGTCATTAAAAACCAAAAACAAGCACATAAAAAAATTCGTAAGGTCCGCTGGTTTGCTACAAAACGTCGGTTCGAATAGAAGGATTTTTTTCTAAGTGCTTCGTGTTTCTAAGTGTCGAACTTTGTTATTAATAATTAAAGATTGGATCCTTTTTGCTTAACTACGTCCAATTCTAATAAACCAACTTCAAAAGTTTTTGGAATTACATCTATTTGCCAAGTTTAATTGAAAATGATTAACGGAAAGCGGTTGAAATACAAAATCTGATTTATCCCCTAATTTGCTACCTTTAGAGGTGAAATATTTTCTTCAAATTTAAATGGGACCAATACTGAGGTATTCTCTTTCCAAAAAAAAAAAGAATCATCGAAACCCGTAACATACACACACAAAAACACAGTCGAATTGAGTACAGGAGGTACCTTTTTTGAAGTCGGTTAAAAATCCATTCAAATGGCATCTGACCTATCAGGCACTTCCTTAGTAATGTTTAGGTAGCAGCACTCTTTCCATTATATTTCTAGAAAAACGATAGACACACGCAATACGTTTCGCGCTACTTGATTGTTGTACTCTGGTACTTTCTACTTACAAACATTTACTTACTTGTTGCATCGTACCATCATAAAAGTCATCGCTTTATTTAAATTTTCAGCCATCACCGGACACACCTCGTCAAACAAGCTCTAATCAAGGATCGGTCTCGGCCGCGTCGACAGCGTCCAGCGGCTCGACAGCCATCACAGCCAGCCGCTCAGCGCGCCGCGCGCCTTCATGGAACCCCTTCCGAAGACACTCCTCTAGGGACAACAGTTCGCATCGCGGCTCTCACACTAGCAACGTCATATTTAGATAAGCGGCATCTAGTTGTCATTTTATGGCGTTAACTCATAGTCCCGCCATTATTCCAGCGTGTATTGTGTAATCAGGAGACATTACTTCAGAAACTACAGTAAATTTGGAACTAGCGACGTCTCTCATAGGTAAGCACCATCTGTCCGCCAAGCCGTCACGTCAGCTCTTGTAAATAAGATCGTCTTTGTACTTATGATACCATTCATGTTGATTATTTGTTTGAGATGCTAATGTCAAAGACGCCATTTTTAATTAGTTATAATAGTCAGTTGAATTAAATCGTCATTTTCTTCCGATACTTTTCAAAATAGAGCAAATAAAATATAGTGCGGAACACAGTCATAAATTATTGGTATGTATGTATTAATTATTTGTTGCCAGTTTCTTGTATTTTATTGTAATTGTAACAGGAAAAAACACTATCAGTACTTATTTTGGTAATTAATTATAGCGCCATCTATATTCTAATTTTGGAGTTAATATTATAAAAGGCGCCATTTGTTATTTAGTTCGCGTATTAAGTCGTTATTCTTTTGGAATTGGCGTTCGAGGTCCGCCATTCATTTCGCAGGAAATTTGGTGTCAATTAATCCATGAGTCCATGATAAATTGGTGCGCATGTGAAGGCAGTGGCGAACATTTTCAGATCCCTTACATAACCGCCAGGCGCAAAGACGTGTCAGTGTTCAATGATCGTAAGGTATACAATAAAACAAAAACCATGAGTATTATGATAGACTGTAATTCGCTAAAAAGTGTATTCACACGAGCTGAATTTTAACTGCTATTTTGCAGTTTATACCTTGCAGTCAGCATGTAGTTGCGCCAACAGCATCCAAACTACTTTCAGACTGCGTTTGCAGTTATGATATGTGGTAATTAACACAATCAGGTAACCCACCAAAAAAAAAATTTAACTACCTAATCTGTCTCATAATGCAATTGTTATGGAAACTAGCTAATTTGGTAAACAGCTACAATAAAAACTATAAACGTAGGTTCCTAAATATATATATTAACACTGATTTAGGGATCTATCTTCGGCTATGAAGAATCCAAAGTGTTCTTTATAATTTATCTTAAATTATATATAATTGTTTTACCTTTGGTCCAAATGTGTTTTCCACGTAGTAGAGTCTACAGGGTTTTTCTTATTTTTTAATATAACACAGAGATCAATGATCATAGCAAATAGTACTTGAGCGCAAAATTTTGAGAAATAATAATTAATTACAAACAATGCGGACAAAAGATTAGAGGAGAAAAATAGCGCCACTATATAATTTTCCTGGTGTATTCCGCAAAACTCTACGTGGTCTATGGTTTCTTTAAAAAAAAGATGGATTTTGGACTTCTCGATTCAACGAAAACACACTTTATTTTGTGATATGCTACGTGGGCACATAAAATCCATCCGATTGTCTAACGAATCTGGGCACTTGAAAAGATTAATACCTTGATGTGGATTAATGGAATTTTCCAGAAATCCCCGAAGCATGTTACGCTATGCGGATTTCTGGAATTTAAACTTTTTATCTTTTTTATCTATTGCCTTTATTGTTATTAATATTCATTTTTTTTATCTAAACTGGCACGTCTTTATGTCACTAAAAGACGTTCACAGTTAAGCAAAATCAGTGATTTTCCGTTAAAACATATCGAAGTTAGTTATTTAAATATATATTTTTAAGTATGTGTTTGTTAAAATGATTATTACGTCACAATTATTATTAATAATGTATTTTTTATTTTTAAATAATAATATTTGGTTGTGATCGACTTTAGGTAGTGGATGGAATAATTTTCAAATTTCCTCTTGATCGCACCCAAAAATATTGTTTAAAAATCATAGTTTCAATTCTAGGACTATTATTCGTTTGTGTAAAAATTATTACTAAGTTAGTTAAAACATGTAACTATGTAAAAAACATAGATTAAGTAAAATATTTGAATAAAAAATGTATAGAATTGTTATGATTACTCATATTATGGAGAAATAAAGTTTATTTAAAGGATTTTTTAAATTATTTGTTTTCAGTCGCGGTCCGTTTATCAAATTATAAAAAGATTATATTAAATTGTAACAGATACCTATTTCTGCTGTTAAGCAGTAACATGAGCATTAATGCATAAATAAGACATGTAGGATAACTCCAAACAAAAGTATCACGTA